TGTCAGGTTTGGAACAAAAACACCACAAAGATAATAAAGGATTAGACTCCTGTTATCTGCGTTGGGGCCTTTATTTTACACCATGCTTTCGCTCACTGTGTGAGTGTCTAAGTGATTTTAGGAACATATTCACATTTCAATATCAGACACTGCAGGTCCCTGTTTCTAGCCTGAAGAGTTCCATTTGCCATATGTATGTTTGTGTGGGCAAGCCGCTCTGCATCTGTGTGTGTATGTGTGTGTGTACATGTCGAGGGTGCGGGTCAGGGACTTCATGCCAGATTCTCATTAGCCAGCTCCAGCAGCCCAGCAGTGTCTAATGAACTCTGCAGCACAGTATTGTCTCTTCCACTCAGCAGGGAAATCACATTATGGAGCTCATCTTTGCCATCACCCGTCTCTTTACGAACATGTGCTCACAGTTTCATCAACACCTTGGGGTCTCTTAGAGAGTCTGGGGGGCTCACAGATTCAAAATCCATGTCCTTTTCTATACTTTTCTCCCTCACCGATGTTAAATTTAGATCTTCAGTCTGGGTTCAAATAGAGAAAAATACAGCCTTAAAAAACACAAAGTTCAAAAGGGTGGTGAACGTTATGTAACAACACAGACATTTATGGTTTTATAGCAGCTGTGTTGTCCTAATTGCCCACAATGCACTGTATTTGTTGTTTTTACTGTATTGATTGAAAAGACAAGGTTAACTTACATATCCACCTACAGTACCTACCGTCCACATTGTGGAAAAACAAGATAGACTCCTACCTGCAAATGGCTTCCTTGACATTGATTGAAATTGTAGAGTTTGGCAGTTTTCCAATAAAACAGGGTATGTTGGTTCAAACACAGCTGTGTCAGATACGAAGCATCAGATTTTACATCTTTATTGTAAACTGTGGGCAAGAGACACAATGCAGGAATAATCTTATTCCAATTGCTGCGTGAATTGAATCACCACTCCAGTAGTTGGAACGCAATTAATGGAGGCTCAAGACAATGATGAATTTGTTCAAATAAATTTGCTTAAGATAATTAATTCAAAAGATACAAAATCAAATGTAACTAGAGCAACAGTTATGATTAAGAGCCACTAATTGCTGGAATCAAGAGTTTGCTCTTTTTAAACTAAATGTCACGTTAAAGAAGTTCACTCAACACATGTGTTTAGGAATTTGGACTACCAAGGTAAAGTATAAACTTTCTGGCACACAGTCAACTCTGTCGAACCGCCACGTTTCTACAGTAGCCTACACACAGACTTGGAAGGCTGACCTGTATCCAAATGGTTGCAATCTTCAACCGCTAGATGCCACTAAACCCTACATGCTTTAAGTAAATATTAATCAATTATACTATAAACTGTGGCATGATATAGGTCACAAATGTTCCTTCGGGCATTCACTCACTGCTACCATCTGACTGTGTTCTAATTGTGCTTCTGCCAAACAAATATTTAATGCCACTTAAAAAAATCCTTAAGAATCAAATCTTTGGACTTTATTTTGATGGAGTATTTGATTAAATAGGATAATTCTAGGAGGCCTTAAATGATTTGTGTATGTACTGTATCTCACATTTGAGACTCTTAATCAGCTTTTTGTACAGTATATTCATGTGGCGTTGCTGGGTCTCTGCCAGCCTTTTTTCTGGCATATTTCTCTGCATTTGGCACTTTGGGAGTGAGAATCCCGCTAATTAAGAAGCCTTAATCACTGCCTTTCCCCTCCTCTCCATTCCCACTCTTTTCCCACTCCCACTCCTCCCCCTCCTTTTCTGTCCACTCTAATTCTGCACTCTTAATTCTGCCCCCTTTTCTTCGCCCTTCTCCTTATACCTCTTTTTCTTTTTCTCTCCAAGTCCGCCCTATGTTGTTTCTCTCTATCTCTCTCTACACATTTTCTTCACCTCCTCCTTTATCTCTTTCTCTCTGTGGGGTTGATGAGTGAGTTATCCTGCTGTAATTAATGTGGGAGAGGAGTGAGGCTCAAGGAAGCAGGAAACACACCCCTCGCTTCCTCTGCACAGCAGCAGCAGCAGCGTGTGAAAGCACCTCCATTAATCAGGCCTCTGTAAATGTATGTGTATGCATATGTAATAAGTGGGAGTGTGAGAAGTAGAAATAGCGAAAACAACGATAAAGTGCAAGAAGGCACCAACAATATTTGGTGATTTGTTGTCTTGCACTTCCTTTCATCATGTTTCTCTCCTCCTGACCTTCATCTGTCTTTCTCTTTCCAGTTTGGCAGAACAGAGGTGATAGACAACACCCTAAACCCTGACTTTGTTCGAAAGTACATCTTGGACTACTTTTTTGAGGAGAAGCAGAACCTTCGCTTTGACTTGTGAGTGATTTCCTTTGAAGTCGTATAATCACGGTATCTTCTCTCCTGCCCTCTGTCCGCCTTCACTGTGATGTATTTTTCTGTTCTGTGCTGATTGAGAGCCTTGCATTTGCAGTCTGAAGAAATTGGTGGTTCGGCAAACCCTGCCACCGAACAGCCATCGCCCAATCATAGCTTAGCAACCGTTACTATACACAGCGGGCCCATCAAGCAAGGGTGTTGTCTCTTTTTTATTCTTTACAAAACCCCAAGTTTTGTGGTGCAAGTGCAAAAGTGTAATAAATTAATAAACTCCATAAGCATTAGCTTAACTAACTAGCATACTACCATGGATGTTTTAAGGGAGAAGTGAACGGCGTTGGAGGCGGGACTCAATTCATTCCCATGAGCGCTGCTCAGTGGTGCAGGACACCAACAAGTTCTATAACATTACCCTGCATTGCGGGGCCTATAGAGCATGCACACTAGAGACACTGGCCCAGTGTGGCCGAGCAGTGAACTGACAGTTTAAACCCTCCACTAACTTGAATGGGGACGATTTAATCTTCTGGCTCTTCTAGACTTTCCAGATGTTATAGGTTATCTTTCACAGTGTAAGCTTATGGGAAAAAGTCCTTTGAGGCCAGTGTGCATTATGTGCCGAACACAATTGCTCTCATTGGACGGTTTGGCCACTATGTCAGACTGGTTTCAAAGGCCAGGGTTAGGGTCATTGAAACGGCCAAGTGCAATATTTAAATTGCAGAAGCTGCAATTTTCTGATAAATGCAAAATGTGTGACAGAACAGCATTATAATGAAATACTGTAGTGCTGCAGAGATGCCCTGACCCACAAATTTGTTTCTTTGGGACATCATCAGGATTTTAACTATATTCCATTGAAAATGAAAATTGTAATACAAAAATGATCATTCCTACCAATCATGAAATATATCTGTCATAATAATTGCAAATGACCATATTGTGCAGCCCTAGTACTACCTGCAGTAGTAAGTTGTTATTTCGAAAGACAAGAGACATGTCATAACTATGTTATTTTGTGGGGTGACCGTTTTTTTTACATCCACTCTGTGGGAGCCAAATGCCATATCAGAGTTTAGAGAAACAATAAAACCTGCTATTGTTGCTTTCTGTCCTGCTCTTTATTTGGTTCGGGGAAGTTTCCATTCAAACAACTCGTACTCGCGTTAGAGAGAGTTACATTTACCAAACTTGTTTTTTATTCCTCCATCAAATAATTTTCTCTTGCAAACTGAATAATACATTAAAGCATGAATGAAGTATATGATAAGCAACCATACAATAAGGGTTATGTTAGAGCAAACATAATTTTAATGACTTTATTGTCATGTCTTCTACATGGATTATCAACTGGTGAGGATCCTAACTTTTTGCCTGGGACATGTACAACTTTAGTTTCAGTCTTTTTTCCATGATATCAAGCCATAAAGTGCACATATATATATATATATATATATATATATATACATATATATATATTTTTTTTGTAAAAAAAAAATTCAAGCTCAACTAAGTTCAACAGTAACTAACTTGACATTGCCCCCCTTAGTTACTGTCAAGCCTGTCAAGCTTTCTCTTCTCGCACAGTAACTGTTGTTGCTAGCATATTTTATCAGCTGTTAGTAGCTTAATAATGCTAACGCTGATGCTAAAACACCATGAGTTTGGTGAAAACTCCATCTTCAGCATGTTTCAAAAACGACAACTTCCATTAAGTGCTCTTATGCACTTGACGGCTATGTACAGAATACTGTTCTAAGGGACTGGGCTAAAGCTACATGTCCCAGGCAAAGAGTGAATGGGGCTTAGCAAACAGTAAACTGACCTCATGATTAGTTTTAAAACATAAAGGTGATTTTCATTAGATCTAGTCCCAGTTTTATTCAAACAGGTTCTCTCTATCTATGTGTCTTATTGATGATTTCTCTGGCCATTTCTCTCTCTGACACAAGAGTGACATTTTTCCAAACAAACAAAATGTATCATAAATTAGTAAAGGGTAAATATATATAAAATCAGATGCAATTTGGCAACCTTTGATCAGTTGATTGATTGTTTCATTCAATTAATAGTGACAGAAACCCAAACAATAGTGTGTGCAGCCTATCAGCAAAATGTTCTCATGTGCTTTTACTCATAATGTTAGTTAATTTCCGTCTATTTGTGCCTGATTAATCTCCAAGCGAACAAGATCTGTCGTTTCATCAGATGTTTAATCTTGGCACATCACATATGCTCCATTTCCCTCACTTTCATAGCTTTATATTCACATGCAAATCAGACCAGGGCCACCACTCATTATTATGGAAGAGCAGAATAGGTATTGCTGAACCCTTGGCCAATTACTCTGTCCCACATATAGTAATATCTGACAAGATGTGATCCTTTCCTCTTTTTATCGTTCTGAATTTTCCACACATGATGACCTTTGCCTTTTTTGATCTCTTATGATGTCCGCCCACCTCTTTAGATACTGTGGTTTTAAATTTAGCAAATTAAAATATTGTATTATATTCTTTTATTCTGCCATCCTTTTCCCTCTGAAAAGCTAAAAATGAAACAAATGTGGTTTATTGATTTTTTTTCTGGTCTGCAGTGATAAAGGATTCATTTTAAATTTTGCCTTTAAAAGCCTATAAGTCCAAATGTTCTCACTTGGATAAGCATTTTTTCCCACAGTTTTTGAAGTAAAATGGCTTTTCTGCTTTCATTTTGTTTCCTTTCAGGTACGATGTTGACTCCAAAAGCCCAGACCTGTCCAAACATGTGAGTGCATATATTTTAACCTTGAGCCACAGATAAATGGAGGCCAGTCTTGAGTAAAATCTGAATTATGGGCTTGAATGGCTCTGAAAATGGAAAAAGTTAATATTGCTTGATGGAATATGGTGTTCAGAGTGATTTGAGATTGGCCTAACTCTTTTTATCAGTGGTCTAACCATGGCAATGTTTATGTTTTTCTGTTTCTGTGTGTTTTGATTTTGGTGTGGCCTGCTGCATGGTTTATTCTAGGTGAAATAAAGCAAACCCTTTTTATTGCCTGATTAGAGAAGTATCCAAATACAAATGTTTTTTTTACTCATTATTCAATGTCTTTGTTTTTAGACTTGAACTGGAATTATCCATGCCGTAATTGTGCTATAAATGTGCAATTTCTATCTCTATATGTCTGTGACTAGGTCTTATTTGTTCTAGTAGTAGGCATTGTGCAATAACTTGCTATAAACTCATGTAGAAACGCTTTGATTATGCAATGCTTTTATCCATTAGTTTCCATTTTAATCAATGTATTACATGATTTGTTTCACTAGTAAAAAAGAAGTTGATTTTTTTCCCCATAAACTGGAAACTATGGTGACAGAAAGCATTGACAATAGTTGAAAATAATCAGATTTGTTGATTATTTGATGTATTTGGATGACTGGGGTTTGCATTTTTTCATCTCTAGCTTTAATTCCACCTGAGTGCTCGAGGTTTTACTTTAGAAAAACAGCATGTTGTCTTCACTCTCTCTTCGGCCTCTTGAGCAGTGCTAGGAGTGCTAGGAGTGCTAGGTATTTGGTATAGTGTTGTGTCTTGGTATATGATGTGCTCTGTTGTTGTTGTTACTGTCATTGTTGTTGTTGTTGCTGCTGCTGCCCAACCTTTCTGGAAGCCCGCAGAACTCAACGTAGGTCCCAGCATCTCTCTCACTTCTAAAACTGCATGGCTGCTGTCTCACATTAATGATCCTTTTCTCACGAGGAAGGATGGTGTCACTGATCAGAACAAGAAACTGAGAGCCCAGCCAACCTATTGTGTCTTTGTAACATTTTTTGAAACATGATGAAGATGGTGACATTTTTCAAGCTCTTCCTTAAAATAGTAGAGTGTGATCAGTGAGCTTAACAGACCAGAGACTCAGTGAAATGAAACACATGATAACCCGATGTTGAATTATTTAGTGTGCACTGTCTGCCAAAGCCAAAGTTAAAGAGTCTTTGGTTTGGATTGTCCCACATCATTGCAATCCAAGTTCAAAAATAGGTTTTGTTGAAACTGAACGCACACAATAATTTTCTGATCAGTCCTGTTTAATATACCAGATCAATGCTGGGTGATACTGAAGGACTTTGATTGGTTAAAGACATGAGTATGACTGAAACTAGTCACTCTGTCTCCAAAAATGCTCTACATTAATGCCCTACACTGTTTCTGAGTTGTTTCTTGTCGTTGTTCATGGTGCCTTAAATCCTTCCATCTTCTCCCATTTGTGTGTTATCCTCCACAATTCATTAAACCAGTGGTTCCCAAAGTGTGGGTGGTCCACAAGTGGGGTCTGTTCTGAGTAGGTCGCAATTAATTATTGATTAATTGCTCAACTTTGTCCAAAAAATAACAAAACAAACAAAAGTTGAAGTTTGTTCCCCCTTTGAATAGTGCATGCCTCCAGTTAAAATTGTGTTTAGGTGAAATTATGGTTACATACGCCAAGGAGGTTATGTTTTCTGTGCCATTTGTGGGTTTGTTTGTTTGTCTGTCAGCAGCATTGCTGAAAAACAACTGGCCCAATTTTCATGAAAGTTTTTATAAAACACAAATGATTTTTCTGTGCTTATGGCAAAATTAACTGTATTTTTCACACATGCACAAACCTGGTTTAAAGTGAATGGTGTACAGATTTGCATAAGATAAGATAAGATATTCCTTTATTTATCCCCCTTAGGAGAAATTCAG